TATAGTGATAATGAGAAAACTAATAAGAATCGTAAACCGTGCGCGCTCCATAAATACGTATATATGAGGAATATAGACTACGTAAAAGCAATACTATATGTAAAGTGATGTAAGCTCGTTGACCTCCTTTGCATCTCACAAAATGGTTGTCTTGAAGATTTTTCCGTGACATACGAGGAGGCCTGTTTTTAATTCATTTGCCGTTATATGTAAAAATTTATCCGTCACTCCTCTGTTCTAGTGGTTATTCTAGAAAAGTAATCCCATAAGCTAGAGATATATTTTTCTTCTATTTTTATACCACTTTCATCTTAAACATATTCAACCACCTATCCCAGAGACACATATAAAGGAAACACGCATTAGATTGATTATTAACGATCTGAATATATCTTTCCACATCCCTTTTTTTTTTTTATAAGAAGGTGCTCGACAATTTTTTTCGCATTAGATTCTTCATCACCTTGTCCTTGCCGCTTACGGCAAAAGAGTCTTAACGATGATTTGATAGGCCCCAGTAATAGCCGCTGCCAGGTCAGCAACATTTGCCGATGGACTATTCGCGAAAGCCGACAGCGACAGACGTATTTCATCCTCATCGATAACATAACCGATACCGTAGCCATTTGGTGTGGCTGGACCAAAGGAATAGTATTGCAGCCACGGCTGCGAAAACTGACGTGATTCCAGGGTAAAGGTTTTCATTTGTTTGTATACCACGTCATTGAAGAAGCTCAAGGCATCATCATCCTTGTTTTTTTCGGCTAAGTGGTGCAAGGCCAGAAGATGGCGGTCGACTCCTTGTCCGCATCTGGCTTCTTCGAGAAGCTCGTCATGACGACGCGCAGCGTTGTGAATGTACTCCTTCAACTCACCCTTTCGCGCGAAGGGTTTGGTAGAAGGGGAACCCTCAGGAGTCGTGTCGATGAGTCTCTCCTTTTCCATTTCTGCCACCCGAGAAACGAGCGCCAGCATCTCAATCGTCGCGCTTCGAAGTACCTCCGTCGAGCCGTGGAAGAACGATGTTGTGGGGCATACATTCGACGTACAGCACAGCTTCTCGTGCAGCATATACCGCGCGAGGTGCAGAACGATCTGCACGAACGCATCCGCGCTGATCCCAAGCTTGCTCAGCTCGGCTTTCCCATGGGGAATTCCCAATAGGTGGACCTCGGTATCATTTACTAGCGTCTTGGCCTCCTGCCGAGCGGTCCGGATATGTGTCGCGAAGGACTTCCCATAGGTGATGTCGAGGTGCCGCATAATTTGCGTCGCCTTGGCGCCATCCACGCCGCTCGTCGATACGACATTCGAGGATGTCTCCGCCTCCAAAATCCCAAGCACCGCGTCGATCCAGCGCGCCCAGTGCGCCCGCTCGCCGGTGGTGGGCTCCAGGTTGAACACCACCTGCCCGTCGGCGGAGACGATGGCCTGGTGTTTGTCGTACCACCGGTTCTCGACCTCCTCCGTACCTCCAAAAAGAGCAGAAGCCGTCGCCAGGGATTGGTTGTCCCCCCACGCCTG